AAATCCAATGTGTAGTTATATTTTGTTTCCAACAATGTTTCTTTCGCATATGCAGTAAGACTTCAAGAAAATAAGGGAAATGCATTTGATCTTTAAAAGGTTTCATATTTTATACGAACATTGTGAATCCACAAAACATGAATTCCCAACCGTTGTAGTGTTATTACATTTTCTTGCAAAGTGTGAACAGGGGATTGAAACTTAAAAGCAGAATTCTTAGACTTATTCACAAAATTTTCTAAACTATATTTAAATCGAATAGTATAATGCTGAGTTGGTAGTAATTTTATTATAATGTTCATATGAATGAATTGTGATTCATATGATTCCTTTAAATCTAAGTACTCTTTGTTTAAAATTTTTCTTTAAAGGACGAAATGGCACCAATACCATATAAATAAATAACTCGAATTGTCGAAGAGCCCAAGTTTATTGTTTCATGTAAACCAACTTCAATAGGGCTGCATTATAAATACAATTTACACACGCTTTAATTTAACGTTTTCTTAATTCGTAAAATAAAATACATTTTCACCGTTTGCAAAATTTGAAAATTATTTTGTACTTATTCAAATTTTCATCAAACATATTTTGAATAAGATTCAAATAATGTGTTCAAATAAATAAACGATTTAAATATTGATTTTTATATATTTAACATACTAATTAGCAATTAAATTTGAGTGGATTTGTAATGAATTTTGTTTATCTGACTATCTAAAATTTATTTCCTACTTTAAACGCGAAACTTTTGTTTAATATTTTCTATTATGATTTTATTGGGTAAGGCGTGCTTTCATGTCTATATCATTATGAAAATGCTATTAGTAACTAAATTCATCGTTGGAATATTTTACCCTTCTTACCCATCAGCCTAAAGAATTTGCAACTCTCCTTATATAGCCTTGAAAATTGTTTGCTTCTTCATTGGTAAAATTGTCTTTATTTCTTCTTTTTCTGTCCCTTTAGATGTATGATACATGTAATTTAGTCTGCTGATCATAGTGGAATTATTTATAATGGAGTCGAAAACGAATGAAGCCCATATGTTTCTGTCAAGCGTTCCGGGTGTACCAAATTCGCAAACGGGATCTATCTTTACAACTCGCCACACCCCACATTCCCAGATGGCCGTTCCTCATCAGCCTAATTTTTGTGTAACCGGAGATAATTACAGCAACTCATCCATACGGCCGGTTATTCCTAAAAGGAAGTTGAGTCCACCATCTCACGCTACGAATGATCGGCCAATGGAGGGGTTTTCCAACGGGAGTCCACCTAAAGGTGTTGTTCTTCCTTCTCCAGCAAAGCGAATCTGTCCAAATAATGTGCATTCTGAAATGAGACCTGTTGTTACTGCTTTACACAAGCTTGTGCCTAACCAAAGTCTATCTGCTTCATATGTCAATAACATTCAGCCTGGTCAACACTCTGATGCTCCTGGTTCTTCGGCTGAACCAATTCCGGTGCAACAGCAGCAACAGCCTTCTATACCTTCTGTTGCATCTGAACCTGGACTCTCTAGCGCTGATAGAATCGAGCAGGTTATTGATGAAGTTCTTGTTAAGGCCTGTAGTGGTGAACCGCATGATGATGTCTTTTGTCTCCCACAACGGACTCGTGAATTCATTCCATTGCCCTCGCCTCTCAATCAAGAAAGTACACCTTCTTCAAGTCTCCATACTTCTCCTCCCATATCCCCTTCCTGTTCACCTCGTCTCATCTCCCCTGCATTTTCTAATTCCTTAAACTCATCAAATACTATGGTAATGACTACCCAACCATTCTCAAGAGGCGGTTCCGTTGACCTTATTCAGCGTCCCTCTAACAACAATCAGTCGGATATGCTGCAGAGAGAACGAATGCGCCTTCAGAATTCCCGTTGCGTCAATATGCAATTGCCATGTGGTAAACCATCGTCTCAATCTGTTGATGCTATGTTGATGAAGCCCCCCGAAAATGTAGATAATGATACAGTTTCATCATTCGTTCAGTCAACAAAAGCCCCCGTTCAGAGTAGATATTTTGATCAATCGGATGTTAATATATCATCAGTGCCCATTCACCAACCTCGATTGGTCCCACGTCTGCGTCACACTTCCTGACACCACCGAGTCTTTGACCTTATTTTATACGTCAAACTGGAAAAACGGCAAATACACTATCTCTACGTTGTTGGCTGCCCATTTTTCAAGTGTAAGGTCAACTGTTTAAAGCAAGTTGTCACTTAAATATATTCAGTAGGACGTATTTGTATGGGATAAAATCGGAACGGTACAAATGATCAGTTCATGGGACATTAATGGGAAACACTATTCAAAATAAGGCATGGAGATACTTTCTTTATCACATTATTTGCTACCTACTTTCCAAGCCTTGGAAGAAAAGTTTGGATTTAAGAGACAAAACCGATCTAGATAACTAGGCATCGGCTAATAAAACCACAACATGGGAAATACTCCGAATTAATAAACAGAACTACTTCATTTGCCTGATTCCTTAATGCGGATGCATCGATAATTTCCTAACAAATTCGAGTGAATTCGCATACACTTCCATTTTTTCCCTTCTATGAATTGCCACCGTAAAATCACTTCGAGAACTTTGAATACATTAATAAACAAACAATACACAAGCCATTACGCGAGTGCAGCAAGTTGCGGTTGCCCAATTTTAAGGCAACCTAAGGTTTTCACAAGCACATTCATAATAAAGTAAACAATCGAAGTCAAATCAGGAGAGGACAGAAAGTGCCCTAAATTGTGCACATAAA